CCTCTTCATGTAGGCTCCTATCCACATGCCCAGGGCGGAGGCCAATACCAGCCAGACCCTCAGAAATGCCACCATGGAGAAATGTGAGTGCCTGCAGCATGGGCGGTGTCCAGCATGGCAGGGGCAGAGCCTGGCAGGCCTGTGCCCGCGACTCCTCACCCCCACCCATGGCCACTTCTAACTCCAGGAGGACAGAGGCCAGCTAGCCCAGCCCCTGGGCTTGGGTGAGGCCTACTGTAGAGGGCGAAGGACTTTGAGGTTCTGAGTACAAAGAAGAGGCAAAGTGAGGGGCTGGGAGCTCATTCCCCCATTTTCCTACTGCAGGCAACCACATCTTTGTGGACACGAGGCTGCCTGACCTGGCTGTGGGGCTTATCCTGCTGGCGGGATCCCTGGTGCTGTTATGCACCTGTCTCATTCTTCTGGTCAAGATGCTTAACTCTCTGCTCAAGGGCCAGGTGGCCAAGGTCATCCAGAAGGTTATCAACACAGGTGAGCCTGGAACAGAGGGGGGGTCCCCTCCAATTCTTCAGTCTTATATTGCCTTGCTATATGATATGGGTAAAGCCTGGCCAGCTCTGAGCCTCAGTGTCCCCAGTGCTGGTTACCTGTGGCTACCTCTGGCCGTGGCTCCATTCTAGCAGGTGGCTGAAGAGATTCTCAGAGGCCATGCTTGATTCAATCAGCCCCTAGCCCTTAATCCTCTACCGGGTGCCAGTTTCTAAGTAGTGCCAGGGAGACAGAGGTGGGGAGCAGAGATGGATCCTGCCCTCAAGGGGGCTCACAGCCTGGGGGTAGGTTGAGGAGATGGGACAGGTATTGGCCAATAAACAGGTGCAGGGATAAATTCAGAGAGGCAGCCCCAGAAAACAACACTGAGAATGTCATAGTTTGGAAGCAGATGCCTGACTGTGGTGAATGAGCAGAGGCCTCTGGGACATTCAAGCAGAGGCCTACCAGAGGGGTCATTAAGATGTGGCTGAGAGGATTCAGAAGGAACAGCAGAGCAAAGCCTCCGAGGCAGGAACGGGCTGGGCAAGTTTGTGGCACAGGAGGTGACAGCAGTGCGTGGGAATTCAGTGGGCGACGTGGGGGGTGGGGGGGATGAAAGCCAACTGGGGGCCCCACAGGCAGGGTGGGTAATGGGGACGTTTGGAGGGTGTGGGGCAGTGGAGAGACACCATCTGATCTTCAGTTTAAGCTTCATTTTCTGCTTTTGGGGTCCTACCTTGCACCGACCTCACCAGACACTAGGATAAGGGGCATCCGTGCATCTGCGGGAGCTGTGGGAGGGAGCAGCAGTGTGCCGGGGCCGGAGTGCCAGTGGGTTTTCAGCAACAGTGGTGTGTGTTCTGAGTGCTGAGGGGAACATGTGGGAGTGAGAAGAATCTTCCTGGCAGAGGAAACAAAATGTGTGATGGAGCCAAGCTGAGAAGGGCCTAAAGGTGAGAGCAGAAACTGGCACCCACCTCTCCTCCCCGAGGAGGGCCCTGCTCTCGCTCAGCACTGACCCGGCCTGGTTGGCCTTTCCTTGCAGACTTCCCCACTCCCTTCACCTGGGTCACAGGCTACTTTGCCATGATGGTGGGTGCCGGCATGACCTTCGTCGTCCAGAGCAGTTCTGTGTTCACCTCGGCCATCACCCCACTCATTGGTGAGCGCGCTGGCAGAGGCCTGGGGGCTGGGGTCGGGCTGGGAAAAGACTGAAACAGGCAGGGGGGGGACCATACCCATCCTCTCTGCACCCCCAGGCCTGGGTGTGATCAGCATCGAGCGTGCCTACCCCCTCACACTGGGCTCCAACATCGGCACCACCACCACGGCCATCCTAGCAGCACTGGCCAGCCCCAGGGAGAAGCTGCCCAGTGCCTTCCAGGTGAGCTTAGGAGTAACTTTGGCAGAGGGAGGACAGAGCGGGGCTGGGACATGGGACCAGGTCAGGGGGGGCATAGTGGGTAATAAGTACAGTGGGACCCTGAACAATGCAAGCGTTGGGGGCACCAACCCAGCACAGTGAACATTCACATAACTGTGACTTGCCCCGAACTTGAGTACAGTCCTCCCTTGGGACCTGTGGGAGGTTGGCGTCAGGAGCCTCTGTTACCAGAGCCCGGCATGCCGCAGCCTCCGTGTCTGCAAGTTCTGCATCTGTGGATTCAACCAGCCAGCATCAGGGGCTGTTTGAATCTTTCACTGCAGATCCCCACAGAAAAGAAGTTTCCGAGTGTAAGTGGACCGTGTAGTTCAAACCTGTGTTGCCCAAGGGTGCTCAGTGTGACTGCCCACCAGGGGCTGCCCATTTGCCATCCTCAAGACCTTGGCATCTAACATAATCACACCAATAGAGAGCAAGTAGGACTTGCATTCTGAGGAAGGGGGGTCTATAAGACGGGGCCTGGCCTGGTCTGGGGACCACGAAGGCAGCGATGGCTGTTGGAGAAGCAAGAGCGTAACTGACAGCCGAGGAGCTGGAACAGGGCACTGGCCAATCAGGAGGCTGGGGTTGCAGAGCGGGCACGAAGAGGAAGACTTGAGCTCTTGGATTTGGGGTGGATCTTCTGGGGAATTTCTGAGAGAGGGATGAGTGGGGGGAAGTGGAGTTTATTTCCCAACTGGTCCACAACTCTTACAATATCTTACTGGGGCTACATCAGCCGCAGGAAGTGGCTTTCCTGACACCCAGGCCAGGCCAGGCCCTACTAACTGTCCCCACTGCCCTGACAAAGCGCTGGGGCCCCCGACCACCCCAGTCCTCCACCCTCTCCCCTGCAGATTGCCCTCTGCCACTTCTTCTTCAACATCTCGGGTATCCTGCTGTGGTACCCGGTGCCCTGCACACGCCTGCCCATCCGCATGGCCAAGGCGCTGGGTAAACGCACAGCTAAGTACCGCTGGTTCGCCGTCCTCTACCTCCTCCTGTGCTTCCTGCTGCTGCCCTCACTGGTGTTTGGCATCTCCATGGCAGGCTGGCAGGCCATGGTAGGCGTGGGCACACCCTTCGGGGCCCTGTTGGCCTTTGTGGCTCTTGTAAGCCTCCTGCAGAGTCGCAGCCCTGGGCGCCTGCCCAAGTGGCTGCAAACATGGGACTTCCTGCCCCACTGGATGCACTCCCTGAAGCCGCTGGACCGCCTCATCACCCAGGCCACCCTGTGCTGTGCCCGGCCTGAGCCCCGCTCACCCCCACTGCCCGCAAGGGTCTTCCTGGAGGAGCTGCCTCCCGCCACACCTTCCCCCCGCCTGGCACTGCCTGCTCGCCACAATGCCACCCGCCTGTAGGGTGCAGCCCAGACTGCCAGCTGGGTTCTAGTGCCCAGGGCAGCAAGTCAGAGGTGTGTCCATGCACTCTGCCCTTGTGCAAGTGCTCAGCGCTCTCCTGTGACTGACAGTCCACACGTGCGCACTTGTGGCATGTTTGGGTGAGTCTGTGTCAGGTGGCAGAGATGTGCTCATGCCCCTGTGGGGGCTAAGTCCAGGCTTCAGGATACCTGGGTATGATCTCTAGTCCTCTGCATGCATATCTGCAGACCTGGGCTTTCCCTGTGTACACACACCTCCAGCTGGGCTGAGCAGGAATAAGGGTGGGGCTGAGCATGTGACTTGCACTGTTTGCTGGTGTATAGATGTGGGTGCTTGAGTCACTGGCTGAACTCCCACACTTTCCCACTACCTTCCTCCATTCTCCATCCCCTCACTCAGGTTTACTGCACCACCACTGCAACCTCCTCCCCAACACTGCCTCATGGAAAAAAAATTAAAATGTCATTATGCATTTGCTAGTCTGTTTGCTTTCTCTCTGGGGCAAGGAGAGACCAAGCCTCAGAGTTCAGCACCACTACCCCCTCCCAAATTCACAGCAATAGCAGCATGCGCTGCCCTGGAGTTAGCCTGCAGTCATTCCCATGATCTCTATGGCATTAATAAGTCCAGCCCAAGATTCAAACTCCCTGAAAGACAACCCACAGCCCTGGGGCTACGGTCAGCCCTAAAGCACGTATGAGAGGGGCTTGCTGCACTTTGATTCCCAGTCCCACCAGGCTGACCACTGGTCTTTACCCACCTCTGGACTCACCCACCAGGCCCCCTCCCTCTCTCATGATTTCTGGAACGAGATCTGTTCTTCAGAAACAAGTGATGGGTCATGGCTTAGCAGGATCACAGGGGAGGGGCAAGGAGGGTAGAGATGGGCAAACAGGCCCCTCTGCATGGGAAAGAATGGAACCAGTCACCCTCCTTTCTGTCTTTGTTTTCTACCTTTGGTCAATAAACCAAACATCATTTGATACACACACGTACTCAATCCCAGAATTCAACTGCTCTTTTGCACAGGGCTTTTGGAGCTGAGCTAGGTCAAGGGATAGGAGGTGCCGAAGTTCCTCCCTCTAGCCCAGGTACACTGTTGTGGGGCTTTTGGGCCCATTGGGCAGTGGCAAGATGTAGGCCCCAGACCCATTGTGGTGCTCCTGGACGTGACCCCCATTTTGAGATAGATAGGGAGGAGATGCAGACCTGATGGCCCCAGAGCTGCTTTCCAAGTACCAATTCACCCTGTCATCCACTTGCCACCCTTGTTAATGCTGACTGGTGCCTAGGGGAGGAGGTGAGAAGTACACTGACTTCTAGCCAAGAGTGGGGTGTGGGAGGAGTGTGGAAGGAGGCAGTTTGTTCTGTACAGAGCTATGGAAAGGTTGCAAAGGCCTGAGCTGGAGTGTTTAAGGTCACGCTTTGGGATTCTTCCTCAGTTGCAGGGCCTGGGGAATGGGCCAAAGCACCCTGCCTCTGGCCTGGAGAATCAGGGCAGGACAAGAGGCCAGATCTAGAACACAGGAGGCTGGAAACTACTACTCAAAGTATCAGATCCACCAATTAACCCTTCAGCAGGAATTTTCCCAGGAAACTGGTTTCCTCATGCTACTCCCACTGGGCAAATGGAGGCTGAATGGGCCGAGCCCAGGTCAGGATTTATTCCAGCACCGTGCCTCGTGGGCCATTTGGCTATCCCACTAGGTACCCTGGGCGCGGAGCCCGTGGATTAACTCGTGCACGGTTTTGTTGAGGATGCCCCCGTGCACACCCCGGCGGCCCAGGAGCACAAGGAGCGCGCGCGGCGTGTGGCCCACGCAGAGGGCGCGCCCGTCCAGGCCTTTGGTGCGTGCGTCCAGCACTCCATCACCCTCCGCCAGCAGGTGGTCGCGGATGACGCAGCAGCGGCGGCCAGACACGCTCAGACCCGCCTGCAGGAAGGTGCGCCGGTCTGGCCCTGTGAGAACACCCACCTCCTGCGGGGAGATGGCCGCTAGCAGGCCTCCGGGCCGCGAAGCCCACACGCAGCGGTTGTCTGAGTGGCCCACGATGGCCACGTCGTCGATGCGCTGGTCCCGCAGCACTGCACTGATGTAACTTTTCCAGTCTCCCATTCCGGCTCTGAGTGCGTCCCTCGCCTTGCACTTACGAAGAATGTTCCACTGGGCTTGTGTGCTTAGAGCACAAAGCCACAAGGGGGTGGGGTTATGACGTTGCGGTACCGTGATGTCACAGAGCCGCTGCCTGCGCTGAACAATGGATAGGGTGTGGGATAGGAAATTGTTTTGCCTCTTAAGCCTGGTAATGTTCTAGTTATTCTGAGCGAGGGACTCGCACAGGTCAGAATAAGCCTTGTAAAACCAACTTGAATGGCCCAGCGAGCACAGTACACATGGATTTAAAAACAAAAAGATGGCAAGGGTGGCCATAGGACCCCTCAGTTTGGTAACCAGTCCACCTCCAGACCATGGTTCTCAGTTTGGAGCATGAGATGCAGTGTCCTGGGGGTTATGGGAGGGTACACACTGTTTTACTGTTAAGTGTTTCTAATTGTGGTTCTCAACTTCAGCTGCACCTGGGATCATCTGGGGAGTTTTTAGAACAAACTTCTACCCACACCTCAACCATTGAGACATTGACTTAGTTGGTCTGAGGTTGGATCTTGGGTGTAGTCTCAAAATCCCTTGGTGATTCCAATGAACAGTCGAAATTGAGAACTGCTGCTCTAGAAACTTTAAACCTTTTAGTATGTTTCTTGGGAGGAATAATACTTGTACAGGGCTTGTACACAGTAGGGTTCAGCTGGACATAAGTCTTACAAAAGATCTTAACAGAGTCTGTTCTCTAAGAGGTGTGGAATTGTTCAGTTTAATATCTTGACATATGTAAGCAGGAGGGCACCTCAGAAGAGCCAGGCTTTCCAAGCATTTTCAAAGCTCTTTATTGAGTACCTACATGGTGCCTGGCACTAGGCTAGCAGCACTAGGGAGTAGGGGAAGAGGGAACCCCATCCTTGCCTTCTGCAATCATGCCCCAGCCACCCTCCCACTCCAGAGTCACACAGTGGGAAAAGAGAAGTCCCTGGGAAGTCAGGAGGTGGTGTGCTGCTGGATCCAGTCTAGGTAATTGGACACATCAGTGTAGACACCAGGTTTATGGTGGTCACCACAACCTGAGCCCCAGCTGACAACACCTCGCAGGATAAGCTTGTGCCCTGTGTCCTCCTCCTCACACACCAGCGGACCTCCGGAATCACCCTGGGTTAGGAACACACAGCTCAGCATCCTTGGCCTGGAATCTACACTTGACACAGGGAGTATAAGAGGGCCCATGGGCTCACCTGGCATGCATCAGTCCCGCCCTCCAGGAAGCCAGCGCAGAGCATGCCAGGGACAAAGGAAGATCCATGCACGTGCGGGGCGGAGCAGAGCTCCTGAGAGAGGAGTGGCACCTGAGCCTCCTGCAGGAAGGTGGAATATTCCTGTGCCCCTGTGAATGGAAAGTGGCATCTTGGCTCCCTGCAGACAGCTTGCTACCCAGGTGATGGACCTGGCTACACCAGGTTCTTCCAAAACCACCTAATCTCTTGTCTCCCTTGCAGCAAGCTGGAGAGGGACGGATTTGTGGTTAGCACCATTAATGGACAAGGAAACTGAGGCCAGAGAGGAGCCAGAATTTGAAAGCACCCAGTGGAAGCAGGACTGTTTTGGGACCCCATGTCCACTCATTCAATTCAAACAACCTTGCTCCCCAACTAACCTACCCACTTCTCAACCTGGGGCCAGTATCTTGTAGCCTAGTCTCCCAACAGAAATTGTGATTCTCCCTTTACCCTTAAGGAGATTTCAGGACCTTCCAGTTCCTAGGAAAAATAGGCGGCAGAGACAAGGACTCTGCATTTTCACAACTCAGCAAGATCCACACCACCTGTCCATGGTGACGCTAAAGCTGTAGGTTTCTTGAATACCTTGGTAGCCAGAGGTCCCAACCTACCCCTGGTCATTCTGCCTACCCTCAAACTGGTGACCCCAGCCGGCAACCTCGCAGAGCATATTCCCAGTTTCAGTGGGGTGGGAGGCACCACTTGGCAGGCACACAGGTTGGATGTAGGGCGACAGGAGCGCGCAGTTGCCATCAGCTCTCTCCTGCAGGCGCAGCAGTGCTAACCCAGGTGAGGAGCAGAATGAGAACCAGACCCCAGCTCTGGGATTCTGAGCTCTCTCCCTACACTTTCCCTTGTCCCCGTAGGGACATCTACACACCCACGTCATGCTGGTAGGTAGTAGGTGAAAAGGCCTCGTGCAGGTAGTAGGCATGCACGGCCAATGTCTGGCACTGCTCACAGCTCTGGTTATGGCGGTCCTGGCCGAGTACCACCTTCAGCTCCTCCGGCTCTGGCCTGTGGTGTCGAAGAGGAAGCCTTTCGGATGTCCGGAAGGAGCTCCCCTCCCGGTTCCTCAGCTTCCTGCTGAGGGGTGCAGGGAAAGAAGGGGGGAAGGTGTGGGGGAGGGGGCGAAAAGGAGGG